GCATGTGTTAGGCATAGTGGAGTCACTAAAGTGAATGGAAGTCAATGGAGGTCCACACAAGCATATACATACAAATGAGTGTGTGTGTGTGTGTGTGTGTGTGTGTGTGTGTGTGTGTGTGTGTGTGTGTGTGTGTGTGTGTGTGTGTGTACACGATCTGTGTGTTCATGTAGATGTTGTATCATAGCACCTGGTCGGTGCCTCAGGCTGCAGATGTTACTGTGCATGCTACATGAATACAAGACTCATTAAATTCAGTGACCTGCCAGATGGACTGCAGTTTGTACTCACACACACACACACACACACACACACACACACACACACACACACACACACACACACACACACACACACACCCACACACACACACTCACACACACACGCACACACACACACACACACACACACACACACACACACACCTACCAGCACACTGTAATGCATAGATGTATACATATGTGCTCACTAATCAGTGCACAAATAAGGCACATTCACTGGGATGTGCAGAAGCAGAGAGAGCTACTGGGCTCGTACGCTTCTAATTGGATCATCTCAGAGGTGATATCACTGTAACCGTATTAGCGATGATGCAGAGTATAGTATATCAGATTTTCACCAGAGCTCAGTCACATTTGTGGCAGAGCAGTGACATGGAGCAATTGTCCAAAATGCAATAACTGAACTTGCGTCATGAACATTAAAGACAGTTAAAAATACAGATGTGGACTAATGACACTCATGTGATGTCGTGTTCCAATGGGATGAGATCAGCATTTAAGCTTTGGGAGTCTCTCATCTGCAGCTCTCTCATCTGAAATACTAACCCTGCACTCGTGCATGCCAATAAATAAACACCAACTTTTGATTTTAATTTAATCTTTATTTGCTGCACATTGATTAATTGGAATATTTTATGGGAATGGGATTTCTTGTTCCAACTATGTAAAAAAGCCATTGCTGTGATCTGATTGGTTCCTGTCTTCTTGAGCTCATATACAGGAACAGTAATCACCAGAAATGTCACCTGAATCAATCTAGATTAAAAGAAAAAAGCCTGAAACGTAGTTGGATCAGTCACTACAACTTAACGTACAGGCAGGACACACTCTAACCCTTACCCCTTCACTGCACACGACACAGCACAATAAAGTTTATATATATATATATATATATATATATATATATGTGTGTGTGTGTGTGTGTGTGTGTGTGTGTGTGTATTACATATTCATGTGTAATATGTTCCAAGTTCCCACCCTGAATTCTGGAGTAGTTGTGGGCAACAAATATTATTTTTGGGTAGATCAAGGAACAAGGCATTACAATAATTTAACCTACTTGAGATAAAAGCATGCATTAACATATCTTTGCTGGCAAGAGAGAGACATGGGTGGACTCTGGCTATTTAATAATTTGATTGGTTGTATTTTTCATATGTGGAATAAAATTGAGCTCAGAGTCAAGAAGAGCGCCCAGATTTCTCACACAGTTAGAAAGTTTGAAAATTTGTAGTTCTGTTAAAACGATCTATCTCACTTGTTTTCATGACCGATGATAAAACTTCTGTTTTGTCCTGGTTGAGCAGAAGAAGGTTTTTTGCCGTCCATGACTTTGTACCTAAAATACAGTTTAAAAGTAAATTTACTGGTTAAAGGTCATCAGGGGACACAGCAGCATAAAGCTGTGTGTCATCAGCATAGCTGTGAAAATCAGTGCCATGTCTCCTGATGACGTCCCCAAGTGGCAGCATGTATAAAATAAAATGCATCAATTTTCTAGAGTATTTAGACTATAAGTGTCACCCTCTAACCAACAAATGAATCCAAAACACCTACAAAGGTTTTCTGAGCCTTTAAAATGTTTAAATCTAAGTTGAAATACTGAAATTATTCTATTTTTTCCAAGTTTCACCCTAATTGGACTCAGGTGGAGGATAAAGACCAAAACACTTTAATCTGACAACAACAACAACAACAAAAAAAAAACCTGGAGCAATAAAAAATAGGAGTTAACCTGCTGGTTAGTGAGATTACTGATGAAGACAGGTGTGCTGTTTCAGATGAGACACAGATGTATGCGAACCTAGAAGCAATAATAACCAAGAATGTTTTAAGGCTCAGAACAATCTGACTAAAACTGTTTAAATACAATTCAATCAAACTAATGAAAACTGTAAGTGACAAAAAAATGCAAACAGCCTTTTATGACATCAGTGTAAAATACAGAAGTTAATTTTACCACCAGCATAAAAAGACAGATTAAATATTGAAGTCCGTGTTTTTATTGTTTCCAATGACTCAGTTCAAAACAAAAGAATGTCTGCCCTCTCCAGATTTTTGAGCTCTTGCCCATTTGTCTGTGAATGTACATGGCCTTTGTAATGGAGTCTGGATCACATAGTCGTCTGTGCATCCTCTCCTCAGATAGGTCAGGGTTCCTTAATTACCACAGTGACTGTTTATCGTCTCTGTTTAACTGGATCCTTATCAGCCCTAACAGTGTTTTAACTCCCCTAGGAGAATGTGTGGGAGATGGCGAGAGGAAATGTGCATGTGAGTGTGTGTGTGTGTGTATAGTGACGCACAAGTGTACATGTCAGTGTTTGATGCCTTTTGTCAGACATGGGTCAGAGTGTGTGGAATGCAGAGCATGCAGATTTTGTGGTTGTGTCTGTGCTCATGAGGTAGTTGAAGAACCAGATTTTCGCTTACAGAATGAACACTTTTGGCTCTCAGACATGAAGAATCAGACTGAGCTTATTTAGCAACCTCCTAACAGGCATGACCTCCGGTCCAGATCTAAAGTTGTGGTAAAAATGGGATTTTTTTAATGAGCTTGATTGTAAAAAAGTATCGTCTGAGTGTGCTTGTATTTAATAACAGCTGGAAGTGAGTTGGCTGTGTGTGTGTGTGTGTGTGTGTGTGTGTGTGTGTGTGTGTGTGTGTGTGTGTGTGTGTGTGTGTGTGTGTGTGTGTGTGTGTGTACATGTGTTTATAAGCTTCAGCTTGTACTTTTAGAGTATGTGCGCATATTGAAGTATATGTGTAACCTGAGCTCTGGCCATCCTGGTGTGTGTGTGTGTGTGTGTGTGTGTGTGTGTGTGTGTGTGTGTGTGTATATGTGTGTGTGTGTGTGTGTGTGAGAGAGAGAGAGAGAGAGAGAGAGAGAGAGAGAGAGAGAGAGAGAGAGAGAGAGTAATGGTCTCCTGTTTTATTGGCTACTTAACAGACTCTATGAGTAATCACATAATGCACGCTCTGACGTCAGGACTGTTTCTATGGTAACCCATTGCTCCCCACTCTGGGGAGCACATTCATTTTTTTCTCCCCACAATTTGTCCTGAAGCCTTCAAAGCTCTGGTTCATAATGGAGACATTACTCCTGCAGCCACTATAGTTTTGTAATGTTCTCTTGATTCAACGCCACACTCTTTGCTCCTTTTTCACTCTGTTTTTTCCTTCAGCTCAGCCCTATCAGTGCAAAGTACATGTCACCACGGTCCCCTGCTTTGTCCTCCCTTTTTTCGTCATCATCATGCCTCTTGCCTCCCTGCTGTCTCTTCCGTGATTTACCCTCATTTCCCTCCTTCCTCCGTCTCCTCCGGTTTTTCAAATTGTGAAAGTCTTTTCCGAACCACCTCTCCCATTCCCATGCCAAACAAATTCATTTTTCTCCCTTACTTTAACGCGCTGTTGAGTTCCACTAAACAGCTGACCTCTTTCCATTCCACAGACCCTTCCTTGTTACAGTTTTGCCTTTTCATATCATTTTTTTCCCCGGTAAAAAGACAGGTCGACATGCAATGGAAACCTGCTCCCTTGTGTATCCCTTCCAGCATGAAATTAACACAATTCCAGCTGTTCCCCAGGAAGACACAAGACAATAGAGCAAACTTGGAAAAGGAAAAATACTTGTGACTGTTATGGCACATTCCCCCCCTTGTAAACCGAGAAAAACATTTTCTACTTTAGCTTGAAAATCAAAATAATCGGACCATCCTGGGTCTGTGACACTCTCACAGGGAGGCTGTTAATGACTCTGTGTTGTTTGCTGTCAGTGCTGAGAGAGGGCCGGACTAAAAGCATTACACTGACCATTTCCAACCCATTTCCTCCCTCTGCTGCTAGAAGGGTATCTCTGTAAAAAACTAAAAATAAAAAGTTGTTTCTGGTGTTGTGATGATGCAGTCAGGACGACTGAGGATGAAATATTACGATTTTTCTTGCGTGCGGGGTTTAACATCGCAGGGACTGACTGTCTCCTAAACAAACAGGCTTAACGTTTGCAGTCAATTGTCCTCATGATTAATTAAACTGGCAAAGCCACAACAGGTGCACATGTGTAAATACTCTCCATGGAAGTGTGATCATAGGAGTCAAAAAGAACTACAAGTGGTAGCTTGTGAGCATATGTAACCCTGTGGTTTTACCAGAGAAGCAGCTCAACCAGACAAAATAAAAGCTTGCTTGGCTACTGACTACTTTTAGTGGCTGGGACACTTGGGGCCATATCCATTAGTGTATTTAACCTGAATCTGTGAGAGCACTATTGAACTATGAACCAATAAGCCACTGTTGAGGGCATATGTGCCTCAAGCAAGGCCCGTTTTACCAGGCGTCCCGGTTGTCCAAACATTGTTGTGGCAGTGCCAGCTCAGCAGAGATCGAACCCGGTGAAGGACAAGGTGGACTTGGGAGTGTGGATTGCTGGAATTCAACCAGACTTGAGTTGAAAAAATAGACATGAAGGAATTCGGAATATTAAAATGAAAATGCAGACAAAGCTGTAACACCATGGGATGTGATTGGCTCAGCCTTCTAAATTAAATCAATATTAGGTGTGACCACCCTTTGTCTTTACAACAGCATCAGATCTTCTAGGTTCACTTGAACACAAGTGTTGAAGGAACTGGGTTGTTCCAAACTTGGAGAACTAACCACAGATCTTCTGTGAATGTTAGCTTCCTCACACCCTTCTGTCATTTCACATAATCCCAGGCACACTCCATGATGTTGAGATCAGGGCTCTTTGGCGGCCAGACCCTCACTTCCAGGATGAAGATGTTTCTGGATGACTTTGGCTGGATGCTCGGGGTCAGTCACTTTGTTTTTGTATGTAGATCAAAACAAGCAATCATATTTATGTCTCAAAGGATTTTCTGTTGACAGTGTTTCTCTGTTTAAATATTTTACTCAGTACTGTGTTTATGTATAGGGATGTTTGATGCCTGCTTCTTTACCGATACCTTTATACTAGTGCATTTCTTAAGTTCAGATACTGATATGAACTGAAATGAACCCTTACCAAAACTGATACCAATATTTGCAAAGTTTCCTACTCATGCAAAAAGAAAAACTAAATCATTTTAGATAACTAACATTACACATCTCCTATTATGCATGCTTCAACTTTAAACCAAATGTGAAGAACAACTATATATATATGTATATATATATATATATATATATATATATATATATATATATATATATATATATATATATACATATATATATATATATATATATGTATATATATATATATATATATATATATATATATATATATATATATATATATATATATATATATATATATATATATGAAATGAGTGTGTTGTGTTCACTGGCATTAGGTTAATTTATCAGTGGGTGTGGGTCTTCTGATGTGACATTCAGGTACTGATGGTGAGGTGTTGCCTTCACAAGCCTCCTTTTTAAACTGCTTGTCTGAACTAGATCCATTGCTCTGTCCTGTGCAGCTCTACTGAACAGGTTATATGAAAATAACTTGTTTTTATCTCAGAATCAGTTTTCTGTGACCATAATAAACATACAGATCCTTCAAATGAGAATAATGATAGCACTTCCCACTGGTCTAAACCCTGGAAATCTGTTAGAATGTTTTCTAATTCTACACAGTAGCCCACAGCTTTATCAGCCATGCAGTCACAACTGTTTATAACTCATTTTTATGATGCAGTACTTTTGCTCCTTCTTCATTTATTGAACTGTTTTCCATTAAAGTGGACTTTTCTTTTAAATGAGCTGTTTTCAAGCCAAGAGTGTTTTCACAATTGTCCTCATTTACTCAGAGCTGAAACAGACATTTCTTTTCGCATGTTACATGGTCCATGGAAAGTGCAATTAAAGCAATTACAGACGAGTAGTCACACTATAGCTCCAGGTTACAGGCCCAGTTTGTTGGTCTTTTATGATATGTGAACATTTGCTGAACAATAAGTTAAAATGTGTTCTAATTTCTTTGTTTGAATAATTATCCTGCTGCTCGTACTGATTTGACAATTAGAAGAATAATAAATTAAAATCAGGCAGTGTGCCAACTGAGAAGTTAAACTCAGCCTGTGTTGTGTCTCTGTATGTTTTTTTGCTGCTTCTTCAGATGGTAGCAAGTTGAGTCGTATGCTGTGTATTGTCTTTGGAGCACCGTGGCGTGGGGAGCAAAATGTAAAAGGCAAAGGTCTGAGGAAACTGTTTCTTCAGCTGTGCTGCAGCAGGCTGTTTACGAAAAATTTAGAAACCCAGGAAGAGTTTGTTGTCTTAAACTTTCTCAGTTTTTAGGACTTTTGGCTGGTTTTAGCCACAGTGGGCAACATTAACTTTCATCATGTTGTCTAAAATACAAGTTTAATTTGGATGAAAAATAAATCTGAATTTGTGATTACATAAATGATAGTGAAAAATACAAGTGTTGTGGAAAACATATCTGTTGATGTCTAAGGCAGGGGTATTCTATTCCAGTTCTGGAGAGCTGGTATCCAGCACGTTTTAGTGGTTTCTCTGCTCCAACACACTATATTTAGGCCTAGTCCACACGTAGCCGGGTTTTTTTTTTAAACGAATATCCGCCCCTCCAAAAACTTGCATCCACACCACCTCGTTTAAAAAAAATTCTGTCCACACGTACCCGGATAAATACGTTACATGCCAGACCTGTAGGCGGCAGTACTTCCCCCATTCTTAACCTCGTCCTTCGTCTGTGGTCTTCCACAAGGAGCAGTAAATCCGCTTGCAAAAACAAACAAGCAAAAAGCGCTTGGACAATTGATAAAGCGAGCGCAGCTCTGAGGGCATCCATGCTGTCGGCTAGTGTAAACACAGGTCGCACACGTGACGTCAGCATTTTTTTGTCGCAGAAAGTGACATTGCGGACCTTAAAACTCCGGTTTTGTCTGTCCACACGCAGACACCCAAAACGGAGAAAACGCAGATCTTCACTTTGGCCGGAGTTTTTAAAAAGATCCATTTTCGTGTGAAAAAACTCCGTTTTCGTGTGGATGACAGGCCAAAACGTAGATAATATCTACGTTTTGGCAGATCCCCGGCTACATGTGGACAGGGCCTCAGTGGTTGACTTACCTGTGCAGCAGCTCATCAGGCTCTGCAGAAGCTTGCTAACCACCTGCTGATTGAAATCAGTTGTGTTAAAACAGGTTTAAAGCTAAAACGTGCTGGATACCGGCCCTCCAGGCCTGGAATTGAATGCCCCTGACTTTACGATACTCTAAATTAATAAAACTTCAAAATGCTCTAAATTAAATAAAAAAAATCTTCAAAATTAAAAACAGGTAAATATATAATGAAACAACTGAAAGCTTGTAAAACTCTAAACTAACTAATACAGTCATTCTCATTCTTCTTTAAGAATGTGTTATTTCACAGTGAGTTTCTCCCCAAGTATTATAAATCATTGTTGAGCCATTTTTCTATTGCTGTAGTTTTTTTCTAATATATATATATATTTTGAAAGTCAGCTTTAATTTCAAAAGTGAGTCACAGTAGGTCGGACCTGCATACCGATTGGCTTAAAACTCAATTCGTTTTCTGGGATACCTGCTCACTAGATAGCTTGTACAGCTAGCAACAATTTAGGTCAAGTTTGTTTGCTCCAAAGTCACGTTTGATCGGTTTTGGGATTTTTCCCATTATTAGTTTGTGTGTGAGCATTTTTGAAGGATTCGTTGGAACAACTGAACTTGTCTTGTTTTTCATGAAGAAGTTTCATCCAAGAAGCTTGATGAGTTCTGAAACTTGGGTTGGGAGTCGGAGGCTTATATGGTGTGGTCTGAAACAAACACACTGATAGGGCAATAGGACTCGCTGATAAGGCCATTTGAATTCCTAATGAGGCCATGTCACTGGCCCCTCCCTCTATTGAGCTCCCTGTTTGTGTTGTTGGTGCTGGTGATCCTAGCAGGTCCCAACGTTACCCAGCTGTTCACTGTTTTGCTCACATGACTCAAAATGTGCGTCTCAGTTTAAGTGCTCTGATAGATGTGTCATGGCTGCGCTGCACTGAAGAAGCTTCTTGGACAAAAGGCAAAACTTCTTCAAGGACAAACGTGTGGAATTGTTTTGTGTGGAGTTTTTAAACTGCTGCACACCACACACTCTAGGATCAAAACTGATGCATCTGGGATTTTTTTTATTACCACGTGTGGTCTCGTTCAGAAAATCGTCCAACAATTTTTAACACTTGCTAACTTGCTTTTTAACACTAGCTAACTAACATAGCTGCTAGCCAAAACTCTGGAGTTAAAAGTTTTCTGGCTTTACTAAAATACCTATCTGTACTTATTTGACTGATGGTAGTTTTACTTTCTATTAGACTCCAAATGTAATCATTTGGCATGTTTCTAATTCATAATTTGTAAGAATGTAATCGGTGATATTAGCATTAGCATTCCTATGGGTTTTTCCACGTATATTAGCATTGCACTAACCACTCGCTGTCAAATTGCAGCCTTTGCGATTCGAAAATCTCCTTTTGTCACATCGCAATTTAATTGCACATGCAGTTAAGGTTCAGCCCAAATATACATGCAGCTCTATGCTAAAAGTGTATTTTCAAAGAGGTAATGATGGATTTCTTTGTAAAAGTTGTCCATCTTTCCAACAGAAACATTTGCCTGGACCAACGTAACGTGATAACAACGTAACGTGATAACAACGTAACGTGATTATGTGATTCCGTAAGGTTCATATTCAGCCAATCAACTACTTTGACATCACCGGCATTTGACGGGCCCCTAGCCGATCTTGCACCCGAGCAGATCTTGTACCGACAGCGGAAAAAGGAGGAGATTTAGGCTTCCTATTACAAGAGCTACTGAGCACGGTGTCTGTATGAAAGAAGTACAAAGAACTTCTTTTCAGTTGTTTAAAATTACACACTTTTAATTTCAAATATTGAAATAGTGATATGGTCTCACATGTAAAAGATTATTTATTTGAAACAAATTCATTCAAAAATCTTTTAGAAAAAAAAGTGTTTCCACTTTTTGCATTTTAAAAGATTTCCTCTTTCATCGCAGCTGATTTAAAATGATGTGTGAACAAAATATTTCAATAGAACTTGACTTGGGCCCAACCCCAAATACTCAACGCTGCACCCTACGGATCATCTGTGATGCGCACTTGGAGGAAGTGCGCAGTAGGGCCTTGAGTGCGTAGTGCACAAGTGTGCAAATAATTGTTGAATTGAGACGGTAACACATGATGGGTTGCTTGTGACTGTTCAACTTAAAAAAAACTTTATTCACAATTTTCAAACAAACAACCAAATAGTTATTTGAAATACATTTACATTCATTGCTGCTTTTTCTAAAACATTCAGAGCATCAATCCTCCTAAAATGAACTACCGTACTTTCATTTGAAAATATTCCCACAGCAGTGGACCCTTCACCCAAGTTTACATTGATGCAGACTTGGGTGAAGGGTGGATCAACGGTGCAAACACGGCATGATCAACTTCTTTGGTGTGTTCTTACTGTGTCTAGTTTCTAATTCCATTTTTGGTTCTTTTTAAAACACAAGAAAGGTTTCTCTTTACCTTACTGACAGTTTTATTTGCCGACTGCAAAGCATCCTCAGAGCTGACGCTGATGGTGATGTCACTTCCTCCTCCGTTTATCCACGGGCAGCAGAGGACGTTGTCGCCCTCTGCTGCCCGCTCTCCCCTCTCCGATGATGCAGTCCCATGCACGATCCAATGTGTAGACCCCATCGTCCCTGTTCATGGTCCTGCATCCACGTCTCCTTATCTCTATAGCTTCTTTTATCCATCTTTTG